TTGTTATATTTAACAAATATATATATATGGGATAATGATATAAAATCTTATATATCAAGAATAGTTTTGAAAGAAAGATGTCTGACAAATTGTAAAAAGTTTTTTGTGATGCATTTCATCCGTTAGGACTTAATTGGACTGGGTTTTCTGACATTGTTGTTGACTACACATTTACATAAATGAGAGATGCTGGTAGTTTCAGTATTTTTGAAAGAATTTTTTTTTTGCAATCTAGCCAAATTCATCTATATTCGTTTTCTTTTCATCATCTTTGTTATTAACATCCTACACTGCGATAACAGAAAATCTGCCAAGAATAGTGAAACATAAGTATCTAGGACACACGAAGCCATGAAGGGTTTCTCTCATCTGAGTCCATCCTACCCATTACAAATTTACCATTCATCCATGCATTAAATAGTCTTGCCTTGGGTGATTCTGCTGTTTATCTGAGGTCCCCGACAAAATCCAAAGATGGATCTGCTTTGTGATCGGTTCTGGACTTGTCACCGACTCCAGTCACTTTCTCACAGACGTGATGTGGCTTCCCTCTGTCTTTTCTCTATTTATATTATGGCATCTGCTCTGATGAGCTATTTTTCCTGGTGCCCTGACTGCATGAATTTAAGCATGCTATAAGTTTGGCTTTTAAGTCCCACTCTTTACTGTTTAAAAACAGTTAAATGTAACCACACCTTCTATTTCAACAGCTTCTTCTTTTGCACTTCCTGACATTGGAACTCCCTTCCTCTTACTTGCTTCCTTGATAACTAAAATCTTCAAAAATTCAAATGTTATGTCAATCATCATCTTCTAATGCCTTGATCCCCGTTTTCCTGTTTATCCTTTCCCCAATTCCCCCTATACCCAATCTTTTTCTTACCTTCACCCCTTGTATACTAGTGGCACTCCTGCCTTGCTTGGGGTGAAATACTTAAAATAAAAGATCTACAATTTTCCATGCTTAGAATATTGCTGTTATTTGTCCTGACCTGGCATCTCAATTTCAGTCACTAGCCCACTGCCATAATGTAGCTTCCCTGTACCTTTTCTATAAATCACTTTCTTGGGAATTGTTCTGATGAACTCTCCGTACTTAAACCTATGAGTTTAAGTGCAGTACTAGATTGGCAGCTAGGTCTCATCATTTTTACAGTTCAAATATTTAGATATAACTATAAGTTCTATATTTACAGTGTCTTCTGTCACACTTCTTGCTTGTGAACTCTTTTCTGGCTTCTTGCTTTCCAATCAAGTTTGATCTAAAATTTAAATTCAATGTCAATTGTTATCTTCTGCTCTCTTAAATACAGTTCTTTTTATTGTTCTTGTCCTATAATAATTTTTTTTATATTCTTTCACATTCAGTAATCCCTGTATGTTAGTAGCCTGTTCCCTGCTTGGGAGAAATGATAAAAAAACAAGAAAAAACATCCAAACTAAACACCCCTAAATATTGGGCTCTAATGTTCGACCCACATAATCCTTCCCATATGAACCCTGCCATAATATATGACAACATCATCGCAAATAACACAGGAAATAAGCAAACAGAGAAACTTTGAGAGCTGATATTTATGGGGCAGGTTTGGAATATGTTGAATACTAAATGTTTAAACTAGATAGAAAAATGACAAGCTTTACTAAAAGCTAAAAGTGATAGAAAATTCTGGAGAGCCATGATCGTCCATGTAATGAAGGGACATGACACATAAAAGAACAACAAAAGCTTGTGGAAATGGTTGGCAGAACATGGATTAAAAGAACTAGAAAAAGATAAATTTGACTCCATTCCTTACAGTTGTGACAAAGAATAGAAAGGTGAAACAAGCCACCTACTAAAAGTAAAACTGGACCAACATCAAAAAACCCAATTGAGTTGTGAGACAGTGAAATCAGGCATGGCTGATCATGTATGAAGGGTAAACATTAGTCATAAGCCCCCATGGAATTAAGTGAAAATAAGTAGGTTGTGGACATTGGAAATGTTCCAAAATTTAAAAGCATTCCATCCCTATATATATATATATATATATATATATATATATATATACATATAAAAAATATCTACATATTTAGTTAAACCAAAAAACTGTTGTTAGTACGAAAGTTTTTCTTCCTCTGTATGAGTCACGAATCCTCGTCACCAAGTTGTTATGTGTGGTTTCACAGTGGAGTGCTTGTATTTGTACTAAGTTGGTCCTAAAATAGGTTTGACGTACAAAATGTTAGGAACTTTGATATAATAGGTAATGACGCAGAAATCTAGTTGGGGTGGCTTGATACTTTAGTATCCCATCAATTCATTGTCTGACATCGACTGATTGACCAACTCACTGCCGACTGCTACTACTACTCTTGCTACTCCTACTTATTATAGGTGGGAGAGTCTATTAACAATAGAATAGGTGTGTTTCACTATAACAAAAAACCATCCTTGATATTGACTAATAGACTAACCAAAAACACTGGGTTCACTTTATCCGTTTTGCATATTAACACTATTCTTATTTCATGAACTTTTGCTTATTACTGTTAAGCTTCGCCTAGTTTTTTGATTTGTATATATATATATATATATATATATATATATATGAGGTTGGTCTGAAAAGTTATGAGACTGGGTGTGCTCTGTGAGCTTTTGGGCGAAACATGGGATAAGCAGATTGTTTATCATCTAACATGATATCTTGGGGAGTATATAACTGTAATTTAGCTTGCAACCATTGCATTTCTTTTTTTTTTTTTTTGCATGCTTTTCTGGCAGGATAAATCATAGCTGCTTCACCAGAATAATGTACCTGCTCACAACGCCTCAAGTATCTGGCAGATCCTGGCCGAGAAGAACTCTGCCAAACTAAAACAACCTCCCTATTCACCTGATTTTGCTCCATGTGACTTTTTCCCCAAGCTGAAGGGGATCATTGAGGGGGACTCATTTTGAAGGCGTGGAATGTCATCAAGAGGGACATAACAATGGAGCTGAGGGACATCCAAGAAGAATCCTTCCAGCAGTGCATAGAAGTGTAACAGAGAAGGATGGAAATGTGCATTACATTCAAGGGGGAGGGGGAAGTACTTTGAAAGGGAAATCATGTAGCTTATTGTTTGGAATTAAAATAAATTGTTTGTGACATCATTTCTATTACTTTTCAGTGAAATCACATATTGTTTGCTTTGTATTATTTGCCCTGTTCTTTTCCTTTCTTTTGTTATTGTTTATTAGAAACTTTGTCAGTTCCTTTTGTTGGGCATTTTGCTGATTAAACTTAACAATATTTGTTGACACAATTTGAAAAAAAAAAAACATGGAGGTATAATCTGGACGCTCTATGCCAAAATCTTTTTTTAAATAAAATATTGTCTATTCACTTAAATTTAAAAGCAATTTAGAATGATTTATTTAAACTAAGCAGTGTTAGGGGTAAGTAAGCATCCTCCTCTTCTCATATTTTCCCCTAAAATAACCCTCTGTCAAACTTAGCTTAATTCAAGTAATTTAACTCCTGTTTTGTCCTTAACTCATATTGGTTACTGTTATTGGTATGGTGGTATCTGCCACATAGAGTTTACTGACTCTTTTGTGTTAGGAAGAATAACGTGTTTTAGTCTTCCAGTAGCACACTGATACTAATATTAGCATTAGTGTAGCCATTGATACACTAACACTGAATACAAATATAGAAAGACGAAATACGCGAGTGTAACAAACAAAACGTTTAATAAGGCAAACAACTTATGTACATATATTCAAAAGGTTTACATATATCCCAAAACAAATGATTGTCCATTTTGTCCCAAAGGAACAAGGTGGTTTACAGAATGAGAACAAAGAAATAACATACCACCTTTATGGCCTTTGATTGTCCGCAGATAAGTGAATAAAAGTACGTTTTTCTTTCACTAGGCCGTGCACATGTTGACCAGTTTCCATGTGTGTGGACACCCTGGTGGTCAGGAAGGTAAAGAGGCCGTTCCTTCCAGAACGGAAGCAAAGACAAAAAGTACAGAAGAGTTCTACTCTCTAAAAGGGGCCAAAACTCTCATGAGCTCTGCCCAAGGGAAAACAACTGTGGTCTCCCTACACTGTTTATAGAGCTTTTTTTTATCTGAATATGAAAGTCAATTTTCATGTGTTTTAGAGTTGCCTATCCCTTTGCATATCCACCTTGGCACCATTCTCTTTTGGTTTGCCACACTGAATTATCCTTTCTAGAAAGCACTAATTTCATGGTGACTGGGAACATATGAAAAGCCAGTGATCTCTTTGGTGGTTAGTCATTAAGATTTGCATCAGGACTTCTCATTCAATGCCAAAAGACAGAAAAAACCTGCAACATGACTATTGCACATGAATAGACAGATGGTTGGTAAATTGTTCAGTTCACCATCCAATAAATGCATGAATCATTTAACGAATCATATTTTATTTCTATTTCAGTGTCGTTCACATGAACTTGCCTGAAGCCACATTTGAAGAAATTAACCTTACCTCTCTCACTATACAATTGTTACTCTGAACAACCATATTTATATTTTTTTAATTGCCATGGCAATTATAGCTCTATAGATTCCTTTTCTTTATCTGTGGATTGCCATGATTATCCTTGGGAAAGATAGTGGAGTAGTTCTCCATTGACTTCTCCATGGTTTGTGATTCAGAGTAGTTCAACTAATAGACTGGCTGCCACCGAAAACTAGAGATCTCCACCTGCCCTGTTATTTAATCCATATCTTGGAATTTGCATTTTGATTGTGTGTGAATTGATAAAACAACAGGGATTTGTTCGACAATGTCATCTTTGGTACAAGGTAGAGTGACTTATCAATGGACTGGTTGGATTCCAATTAAGTTTGTTATATTCACTTATACACAATCTATGTCTTCTAACTTGCGAATGGTACTGATCTGTCTCTTCTCCCTTGGGAATGGTATCAATCTGTCTTCTCCCATGGGAATGGTATCAATCTGTCTTCTCCCTTGGGAATGGTATCAATCTATGTCTTCTCCCTTGGGAATGGTATCAATCTATGTCTTCTCCCTTGGGAATGATATCGATCTTTGTCTTCTCCCTTGCGAATGGTATCGATCTATGTCTTCTCCCTTGCGAATGGTATCGATCTATGTCTTCTCCCTTGCGAATGGTATCGATCTATGTCTTCTCCCTTGCGAATGGGATCAATCTATGTCTTCTCCCTTGGGAATGGTATCGATCTTTGTCTTCTCCCTTGCGAATGGTATCGATCTTTGTCTTCTTCCCTGTGAATGGTATCGATATATGTCTTCTTCCTTGGGAATGGTATTGATATATGTCTTCTCCCTTGGGAATGGTATCGATCTTTGTCTTCTCCCTTGCGAATGGTATCGATCTATGTCTTCTCCCTTGCGAATGGTATCGATCTATGTCTTCTCCCGTGCGAATGGGATCAATCTATGTCTTCTCCCTTGCGAATGGTATCGATCTTTGTCTTCTCCCTTGGGAATGGTATCGATCTTTGTCTTCTCCATTGCGAATGGTATTGATCTTTGTCTTTTCCCTTGTGAATGGTATTGATCTTTGTCTTTTCCCTTGTGAATGGTATTGATCTTTGTCTTCTCCCTTGCGAATGGTATTGATTTATGTCTTCTTCCTTGGGAATGGTATCGATCTTTGTCTTCTCCCTTGTGAATGGTATCGATGTATGTCTTCTCCCTTGGGGATGGTATTGATTTATGTCTTCTCCCTTGGGAATGGTATCGATCTATGTCTTCTCCTTTGGGAATGGTATTGATCTTTGTCTTCTCCCTTGCGAATGGTATCGATCTATGTCTTCTCCCTTGAGAATGGTATCGATCTATGTCTTCTTCCTTGGCAATGGTACATTTTTTATCTATTTTTCTCATGGTTTGGTTATCTAATTTGTTTAAAGTATTGATTTTGTTAAAAGTATATTACATTATCTGCATTGTATATAGTCCATTCATATTCCTGGATATTTTCCCATCTATTACAGTCAAATGATACAAGAAATGCACTGTAACAGTGAAAATCACTTTTATTTCCCAAGTATTTTCCACCTCTTTCTGAGATCATCATCATGGGTGTAACTATATAGTTTTTGCCCTACAGGGGTGCAACTAGTAAGGCAAAAACTATCTGTAGCTATCCATTACTGATTTTTTCTTTTTGCATTTAAACACAATGGCTGACAGTTTTGCTTTAGCATTCATTGGAATATAAAAAAATTATCCACTGTGGAATTTTTTCTTTTATGCTGGAATGTCATAGGCCAAGTGCACATTAAAGTGTGAAAAATGTTTCTTTATAGGTTTTTAAACGCAAAAAGAAAAATTAGTAATGGACAGCTGCACATAGTCTTTGCCTTACTAGTTGCATCTCTGATGATGATATCAGAAAGAGATGAAAAGTACTTGGGAAATAAAAGCGATTTTTTTTTTTTCATCATTTGATTGTAATATTTGGAAAAATATCTGTGAATATGAATGGATTATGCTAAAAATAAGCAGACGTTATGTTTGCAATTTGTTTAATCAGACATGTCTAAAAATTAATTTGCTGTCTAAATACACAAATTGTATATAGTATGTATATTCACATTTTTCGTATTTGTTTTTGCTTTTTGGATTTATTATAATATATTGTTTTGCAAGCTGTTGGCATTTAAGAGACATTCATTCTTTGTTCTACAGTTACAGGTGCATTTGTTTGATGCAATTGGTTTGTTGATTTAGTTTTATGTTGTGCTTTTTTATTATTTGTGTCATGTTCTCAGTGAAATAGCAGCTGATTATAGCTGTATTTTTGCTGTATATATATATATGTGTGTGTGTGTGTGTATGTTAAAAGCAAGTAAGATTTAATATTTATAATTTTTATTTTATTTTTTTCAGGTAAGAAAAGATTATTTACAATTCTTTGATTCTTGCTACATTGAATTGGTAGGTGTACAATTTTATTTTCACTTTTCAAACTGAGTATCATCAACTTTTATGCCTTTCTTGATTTCTTATTACCTGTTATCTATATACATGAAGGGTTGCTGAAGAGCATTTATTTGACCCACTTTCCAAAATCAGACTTAATAAACAAACACAAGAATTTTATAGAGCCCTTTCTTGATTGGGCTGAGAACTTTTCATCACATCTTCATACATAAAATGAAATATATGTTCAAATTTAGAGTTCACTGCTTTTGCACAGTTGAGATTGAAATTTGGCTTTGCAGTGTACCTTGCGATGGGTAAATTGTCGCCATTTCATACTTTTAATTTCAAGTATGCATGTTGTTTGTTTTTGATTTTGTCAACTACACAGTATAGTAGGGTCAGTTGGGCACCATCTGTGAGAAAAAGAGCATCATGATGCATGGTTGTCAGTCTGAGGACTGTGCAGAGGATTCAGAATGTGTTAGATGAATCTAATGGTGATTATGAAGGTACGTAATCTCAGAAAACTCACTTTGATCATTCTGATAAGGTGTTGAGGGCCTCAGATTCAACATAAAGTGCCTTGATGAGGTTGTGCTGCCCTGAGTCAGGAGAGTAGCTGCTGGATGACCCTATGTCTGGCAATAAGACTCTGCACCATGTCACACAAGCAATCATGACTGTCAGACAATTTCTGCAGCCACATCACCCCTTGCATATTTGGCCACCTAACTACTCAGACTGCAACCCCCTTGATTATTATGTGTGGGTGCAGTTGAGCGAGAGACCAACAAAACTCCTTGTAACACTAAAGATGAACTGAAAGCAAGGATTATGGCAGCATTCACCAACTTCAACAAGCAAGGAGACCACCCAGAAGAAATACTGGACATTCTGAAGTCATCTGTAGGCTGTGGTTGAATCCAATAGTAATTTTACTGAATAAATTAGTATTTCAAGATATTTTTGTGTAATTTAGGTAAATACATCTGTTAAAATAAGATGTCAGTGTTATTTTCATTTTGGTGTAATTCAGATGACAATTTATCCATCGCACCCTGTACATCTTTTCAAGGTTAGGGTCAAAAGTAATATGAATTTTTATAAATATGTTGGTGACTGGATTAATTGGTTTAAATTAAAAATTTTTTTTTTTGTTTCTCAGTTTTTTAAATTTTACAAAATTTTTTATTATTATATTTGAACAGATCATAAACATTTAAATTAATGTAAATAAATTATGACTAATTGTTTGTTTTTTTCCCACATTTTTAAGGTGATGTTTTTGTAAGTTGGTTCAGGTGTATAGGTACCTTGTAGAAGAATGACATAATAGTGTGTGCATCTATATCTTCATGGTTACAAGAAGAAAGTTAAGGAACCTATATGGTATAGTGCTATTTACTAGAATCATCTTCTTTGATTTTAACAAATGCCAAAATTTTTGTATAATAATGCAATATCAAGAACAAACTGCAGAAGATCAACTATTGGGGGGAAAAGTGAAAATTATCTTATTATAATTTTGATTTGTCCCTCCTTTAGTTAGCACGACCATTACACTCTGCCAATACATCATATGAATGGTAGCATATTAAAACTGTATAGACCTTTGTGTGTGTTAATTGTTAACAATTTTCTACATTTTCATCTTCTGTAAGTATGTGTCTGACAGGTCAGTTTTTGAAAAAAATTTCTATTAAATTTAGAAAAATTTCTGGGTATGGTAATGGATATATGTGAGGTGGTAGACACTCGTTTAATAGAAAAATCAACACATACATAAATATTATTTTTCTTCTTTTTTTTTTTTTACATACACAGTTTGAGTTGCCCATGGGCAAAATAACTTAAGAGTTTCTAATCTGTCAAATTCATTGTTAATGGGTTCCACAACTGTAAAAGACACACTAGAATTGGGTTTCAAAACAGGAACTACATTTTCCTTTAAGTAAAAATGTGGCCTTTGCCTTAATACATTTTCCAAAACCTCCAGAAAACACTGTAAGAAAATTCTTTTTAACTCTTTCAAAAGAAACTTGTTTTAGAAGAGAACACTTCACTTTTTTACAGAATGAATTTACAGGCAGATTCCACAGATCAAACAGTTTCACCCAATAAGTTCAATGTATTATTTTTTTAAAAATGAATGCCTTAGTTTTTGAAGTTTTACTGGCACATGAGACAATACATGCAATTTCAACTTGAAAGCATATTTTTTCCTGAGATGCCACTTGAAAATTTTTGGTTTTCCTTAATGTAGATTCACAAATATTTTTTCCAATTTTTTTCATTAATTATAATAATGTCACTGCCAGTTGAAGTTTTACTTCAGTGTTATTTATCTCAACCTTCACAAATTTTCTGTTCTGGACCTCATACAGATTATGAGTTGCCAATACAACATTTACTCTATTTTAATGTCTTTTTTTCTCTGCTTGGATTTGCAATGACTTGCATGATTTGCAATAACCCAGTTTTCCACAATGGAAATACTTTTTTTATTTTTGAATGGGCAATCCACCTTAAAATGAAGTCCTATGCAACCATAATTTTTTTTTTGTTGTGTTTTGCAAATCATTTGCTGAATAACCCTTTCTTCAATTTTTGAAGTATAATGACTTAAATTCAGAATTCTTCTAATATTTTTGTTCATTCTATTTTTGTTGCTTTTTTTATTGTATCAGTAGAGCATATAAGACTTTTAATTTCTTAGAGGAAACATTATCATTATCATTAATGTTTGACTAGAATCTCTTTTATCTTATTTTTAAAGCTTTTTATTATAACATTCCTATTGTTGTACATTCTCTGGCTGTAAGCTGGCTGGATTGGAAATAAAATCCCAATGAAAACTGAATTTATAAAATAAAGTGTTTTTCTGCACAGACTGTTTCCCAAGGATAAGGGATACGAGTTTAAATCATTCTCAAATTTAATTCTTTTCTTCCTGAAAAATGACCTGGATGCTGTGATGAAAAGCAATAAAAATAAAACTCATATAAGAAATTTAAGTGAGCTACTAGATTAGTATATATAGGTCCACCTATTACCTCTACTCCAACAGTTTCTTTTCTCACACTTCCCACCTGTGGAACTCCCTTCCATTTAGTTGCTTCCCTGATAAATAAAATCTTCAAAAATTTAAATGCAAAATGAATCACCATATTTTGTCTTGAATCCTGTTTATCTTTTGTCCTTTCCTCAATCTTCCCTATACTTCATCTTTACACTCCCTGTGCACTAGTGGCATTTTTGCCTTGCTTGGGGTGACATGAATAAAAAAAAAATAATGCAGAACTAATAACCCACTGTTTTAGTATCATATAATAATAAAACTTTTTTTTAAATCATTTCACCCTAAACAGGGCAATAATGCCACTAATATGCGAGAGATTACTGAGAAAGGAGAATGAAAAGACTTTAGTGATAAGAAAGGACAATTAGTGATAATTGTTTTATAGCAATGAAGTAATATTTAACATTGAATCTTCTGCTATAAGTTAATATATGTATAATAATAAAATAATATTTAATTGTAATAAATTTTCTGTGATAATAATTGTTTAGTAGCTATAGAAAAATAAACTAATATCAATAATATGCATTTAGTAATAATGAAAATTG